GAGCAGAACACGGAAAACATTACAAATACTTCTAATGGGTCTTCATAAAAGCAATTCCAAAAGAGTGTTTACACTGAAGGTATAAATATCCCCTTAGATGATGCTGTTATCCAATAAGCCCTGCACTTGATCATGTTCAGATAAGGAATAATTATTTAGCTCCTTCAGAGAGGTCAAAATAACCTCTCACAGGGCATGGGAAACTTCTTTTCTATGCGTAATTTCAGTCAGCAGACAAATCAGTCAGCAGAAGCAGGTAACACCAACTCGGATGTAGGAGGAAAAGAGCTAGTGGGCAGACTAGGCACAAGCGCAGCGGATAGAATTTGGCTGTGAATAAATTTAGGCTGGAAATCAGGAGACCATTTTCAAACATCAGAGCAGGGAAGTTTCAGACTGGTCTTTCGATTAAAGGACTGGTACAAAAAAATGAACTGGGTTCAAAACAAAGCCTGTGAGCTGTCTGAGGGAGACTGCAAGGTGTGGCTGCCTGCCGTAGCTGAGCTCTGAGCCTTGACCCTGCGATCTCTCCCAGTCCAGTGCTCCCCAGTATCTCCTGTGGCCGCTAAAGGCACAGGTGACCATTAGTCCCACTGACAAAGAGCAAGAGGCTCCATCGGACACCTCAGTGTGCTACATCACTGTGGTGGCATCCTCATGAAACACCTGGATGCCGTGTCCCTCTGAACGGAGCGGTGTGGAGTCTCTGCCGTTCCGGGGTCCCAGACAGCACCGTGTGGCATCACCTTCTCCCGGGGCGGCCACTGCCTGTCATCGGCCTCTCAGACTGCACACCTCCACATGGACATCGGCGATTTTAGCTTTAAAAAAACCCCTTATCTTCCTCACAGGCTTTATGTATCTTCCCTCCCGCTGTTCCATCGTGGAGAGTGGGAGGAGAGGAACTGAAGGGCCGGAAGGAGGATCCTGGGAACTATGGACCTGTCAGCCTGACCTCGGTGCTGGGCAAGATTATGGTGTGATTCATCCTTCACTTCACTTCTCCACTCTGAGGGTGATGGAGCACTGGAACAGGTTGCCCAGAGAGGTTGCGGATTCTCCTTCTCTGAAGACATTCAAAACTCTGCCTGGGCGCAGTCCTGTGCAACCTGCTCTAGGTGGCCCTGCTTTGGCAGGGGGCTTGGACTAGATGCTCCACAGAGGTCCCTTCCGACCACTACCATTCTGTGATTCTGTGATGCTGAGTGCACTCACCGGGCATGTGAAGGACAACCCAGGGATCAGGCCCAGCCAGCACGGGTTCATGAAAGACAGGTCCTGCTTGACCAACCTGATCTCCTTCTATGACCAGGTGACGCAGCTAGCGGATGAGGGAAAGGCTGTGGATATTATCTACCTGGACTTTAGTAAGGCCTTTGACACTGTTCCCCACAGCATCCTCCTGGAGAAACTGGCTGCCCATGGTTTGGATGGGTGTACTCTTCACTGCATAAAGAACTGGCTGAGTGGCCGAGTGCAGAGAGTGGATTTAACTCCAGCAGGAGTTAAATCCAGCTGGCGGCCGGTCATGAGTGGTGTTCCCCAGGGCTCAGTTTTGGGTCCAGTCTTGTTGAACATCTTTATCAATGATCTGGATGAGGGGATTGAGTGCTCCCTCAGTAAGTTTGCAGATGACACCAAGCTGGGCGGGAGTGTTGATCTGCTTGAGGGAAGGAAGGCTCTGCAGAGGGATCCGGACATGCTGGATCGATGGGCCGAGGCCAATTGTATGAGGTTCAACAAGGCCAAATGCCAGGTCCTGCACTTCAGTCACACCAACCCCATGCAACGCTTCAGGCTGGGAGAGGAGTGGCTGGAAAGCTGCCCAGCAGAAAAGGACCTTGGGTTGTTGGTCGACAGCCAGCTGAACATGAGCCAGCAGTGTGCCCAGGTGGCCAAGAAGGCCAACAGCATCCTGGTTGTATTAGGAATAGTGTGGCCAGCAGGAGCAGGGAGGTGATCGTGCCCCTGTACTCGGCACTGGTGAGGCTGCACCTTGAGTACTGTGTTCAGTTTTGAGCCCCTCACTACAAGAAGGACATTGAGGTGCTGGAGCATGTCCAGAGAAGGGCAACAAGGCTGGTGAGGAGTCTAGAGAACAAGTCTTGTGAGGAGGGGCTGAGGGAGCTGGGGCTGTTTAGTCTGGAGAAGAGGAGGGTGAGGGGGGAGGTTTAGATTAGATATTAGGAGAAATTTCCTCACTGAAAGAGTGGTCAGACATTGGAACAGGCTGCCCAGGGCAGTGGTGGAGTTTCCATCCCTGGAGGCATTCAAAAAATGTGTAGATGTGGCACTTCAGGATATGGTTTAGCAGACACGGTGGTGTTGGGTTGATGGCTGGACCTGATGATCTTAGAGGTCTTTACCAACCTATGATTCTATGATTCTAACAATTTTCCACCAGGGTTTTAGATAGCAAGCTGCGTTTTGGAGGGGAGGGTATCTCCTTCTTCCTTCTAGAAATTGGGCTGCCTGGCACTTCTGAGTTTCTGCGGGAGACACCTGCGCTGCCAGGTTCACTGGTACCTAAAACAACACCAGTGAGTGTGCCCGACAGAGGTGTGCAGAGGTGTTTTGCTCCTGCTCCCCAACCCAAAGGCACCAGGGCGAGCCCCTTGCCCAAGGACACTGGCCACCACAGCACCTCTACCACAGAGCTGCCAAGGGCCTGTCCCCAGACCCCCAGATTGAGAACAGCCCTGAGGAGAACGACTTGGGGGTGCCGGTTGACCAGAAGCTCAGCATGACCTGGCAGTGTGCACTCGCAGCTCAGAAGGCCGACCGTGCCCTGGGCTGCATCCCCAGCAGCGTGGGCACAGGTTGAGGGAGGGGATTCTGCCCCTCTGCCCCACTCTGGTGAGACCCCCCTGGGAGTGCCCCTCCTCTGGAGCCCTCAGCACAGGACAGACCTGGAGCTGTTGGAGCGGGGCCAGAGGAGGCCCCAGCAATGATCCGAGGGCTGGAACCCCTCTGCTGGGAGGAAAGGCTGGGAGAGCTGGGGCTGGTCAGCCTGGAGAAGAGAAGGCTGCGGGGAGACCTTAGAGCAGCCTGGCAGTGCCTGGAGGGGCTGCGAGAGAGCTGGGACAAGGGCATGGAGTGACAGGACAAGGGGTGATGGCTTTGAGCTGAAAGAGAGCAGATTCAGGTTAGGTGTAAGAAAGAAATTCTTCCCCATGAGGGTGGTGAGGCCCTGGCCCAGGTTGCCCAGAGAAGCTGTGGCTGCCCCCTCCCTGGCAGTGTGCAAGGCCAGGCTGGACGGGGCTTGGAGCACCCTGCTCTGGTGGAAGGGGTCCCTGCCCGTGGCGGGGGGGGGGGGGGTTGCAACGGGATGATCTCTAAGGTGCCTTCCAACCCAAACCATTCTATGATTCATTGGGACA